ATGTTTCGAGCAGCTGAAAACATCAACACAAAAAGGAAACTGTGGACCATAAAAGCGGGCAGCAGTAAGTGGCAGTAGAGATGTCTTAGCCCCCAGCCATCTGCTGATGGGCCTTGGCTTTGGCTGGCTGCATTTATTGCGCCTGTTAAGGCCAACAGCGCAGCGGGGGAGCCGAGGAGCGGGGCGGCGCCGCAGCAAGTTAAAAAGTCATAAAATGATATTTATTTCATTTCGCTGCCGCGTAATGCGCACTAACCGGGTGGTGCTCTGCCTGGCGGGTGGCTCAGCCAGCCGCTGAAGCCATCCACCAACTGTGGAGCAGCTAAAGATGTGCTATAGATTTGCCTTTTATGTGAAATTTATATTTCAACGACCTAAGCAGAGAGAGAGAGGGAGAGGGGAGATAACAGCTAGTCGGCGTAATAACAAAGAGTAAATCTACTTGTGTCGTACGCACTGGGGAGGCGAGGGCGTGGCAGGGCAGCGCACACAACTATTTGCCGCTCGCTTTATAGAGTTGAAGCTCTCTGACTTCTGCCCAGGGGCTGCTGCCGGCGCTGTGGAAATGTGAAAATGTGGGAATGTGGAAATGTGGAAATGTGGAAATGGCAATGGAAATGCTCTGCTTCAGCCTTGTGGCTTTTTAATGTTTTCTTGTTAAAGTTTATTGAAAAACTTTGGACAGTCACGTTTGAGTAGTCAGCGGGTGCCCTAACTTATAACAGCGCGCACACACACACACACACACACACATATTTATATATATATTTATATATCTCGTATCTGATGCCTGTCCAGAAATGAAACAGCTGCACGAATGCACGCCCCAACGCCCATGAAAGTGGAGCAAAGCGATTTTTTCCGTTTTGTTCAGCAAAAAGAGGAGTAACAAAAAAAGTAGAAAAAAAAAAGACATGGAAAACTGACAAATAAAACATTTTTGTGTTGTATTTTATGTGAACGACGGACGTAGACTGGCCACGAGGGATAGTGGGAGTAAGAGAGAGAGAGAGAGAGTGCCCTGCCCATGTTTGTTCATAATTGAAATTTCGCGCTAAACAGGAAGTAGCCGCATTTGCTCAGCATTCCTAGACACTTGTTGTGCCTGGAAGGTTCACTTGGCAGGGCCAACGAGCTGGCTGGCCAGCGCTGTTCATGAGAGTGCCGGAGTGCTGCATTTATGAATTTATGGGGCAGCTGCAGCTGCACTGGCCCAAGTGCAGAGCACATGTTGCACAAAGAAAATAATCGAGATCGCTTGCTTTTATTCGCTTGAAATAACTGCGCCTGAGTGCGCACAGTTTCGGGAAACCCAAATAAAGCGAATTCAATTTTGCACCATGAACAGAGAAGACTTTAAGCTGAATCTATGCTCTAATAAAACGCTTTCCCGATCCGCATTATTCATGTACTGTGCGATGATGCCTCGACTTTTGTCAATTCCACGATTTATTCAGCGGCCGTCATATATAGATATATATGTATGTATATATGTATATTTATATATTGGCTCTGCCTGAGCACACTTTATCCTCTATGCGCGACATTTTCTTTAGCCATTCTAGCCCATTTATTTCTGCTCAGCGCCTTTGTCGTCTTTCGGGCTGCACTGCCAGTTGCTGCCACTTTGTATTGGTGTCCCTCATCTCTGCAGATCTCTGGATCTCTGGCTGCAGTGCCGCGCCATCCTTGCACGTACTTCACGGTGACATGTGCTTCCTCTGTTGTATTTTTGTAGCAACTCCCCACAATATTTTTCTCTGTTATTTTCCACATGTGAAATTGAACTTTGCATCTTGGCGCAACGTGCCAGTGCGCCGCTCCTCTTTGCTCTTCCCTCTGGCCGCCCCACCCCCCACCCGCCCCCTGCGAGCAATGTTGCACTTGACTTGTGGCGCCCCCCCTCCCTCGAACGTACTGCACCCTTCGTCCGTAGCTCTCGCTTGTGACGTTGTTTTGACACTGCGAACGCGCGCGCGTGTTTATAAATAAATATTTGGTATATATAAACACACGCACATACACACATATATTACACATACATATGTGCGTGAATATGGAAATATGTTTGAGAAATATTTCCACGCTTTTGCCTGGCTGACAGCGCACATGTGTCGCATTCGGCTGACGGCTGCAGGGGGCGGGGCGAGGTGCGGTGCGGCGCGGTGCTGCACCCCTTGGCTGTTTTTCCCTTTGAAGTTCATATATGAAATTAACAAAAAACCAATTTAGAGCACAAATGACGCGCTGATGAGCACAGCGCAGAGCAGAGCAGCGCAGCGCAGCCGCCGTCGACTGCTGCTGTTCGAGGGCGCGAAATGTTTGCATTGCAATTGAACTGTGCGCCGCCACGCCCCCTGGCGGTGGTTGGGTATGCGGCCGTGTTGCGTGTGCTGATTGCCCATCAAAACAAAGCTGGGCATGGCTTGAGGAGCGCAGCTTGACATTTGCCTACAACAATCGAGAGCACATAAATCGAATGCTAATGCCGAGAATTTCAATTACATACATACATAAACGAGAGTGTGCAAGTGTGAGTGTGTGTTTGTGTGCGACAGAAAAGACTTGTGAACATAAAAATAGTGACGATTATGATGAAAATATTCATGCGACAAACGGAAGCCGTAGCCAAGTGCCAAGGCAATGCCCCAGGAGTCAGCATGTTTCCCCTTCCCCTTCCCCTGCCGTATGCGTATGCGTGTGTGTGTGTGTGTGTGTGTGTGTGTGTGTGAGTCGTTAATGTGGCAACGTTAGGCAGCACATTCGAGTTCCATTTAAGGCGTCGTCAGTGCCAAATGCGCCACTATCGAGTGGGGCGAACTCTTGAGAGTCTCAAAAGTCAAAAGATGGAAATTGCCCAAGAAACGTTCGGCATTTTAAGCTCTCAAGTGCTTGCCTGCTAATAAGTTAAGAGGAAGCAGCAGACCTGGCAGCAGCAGCAGCAGCGACAGCAGCAGCACACATAATTAAATTTAATGCCCAATGCGCAGGGCAAACAGTCAGGCGAGGGCGTAGCTGGGGGGCATGGCAATGTCTATATCGAAGGCATCGAAATTCAATTTACAACAAAATCCCGCGCGCTGCCATAGCCAATGCCAAGCGAAATAGAAAATGCCAGAAAATGTGTCTCGTTTTAGCCCAAATCCTGTCATAAATTGCTGCCAGTCCAGCCGAGCCCTGCCGAGCCCTGCCGCGCCCAGCGAGCGGCAACAAAAGACAGACGCCCGCCCAGACGGCACCCAAAAGGAAAATATGCTGATGTCGATGTCGAAATATGATTTGTTTTTGCTTTTGCTTGTTTTTTTTTTCGAGTGGCTGACATCCTAACATAAAAAAACGATGCTCGTTGGTAGTCTGGGAAATGAGATATGACCGATGTTGCTGCTGTTCCTGCGGCGACTGCTGCTGCTGTTGCTGCTGCTGCTGTTGCTTCAAGGTTAGCTGCTCTATAATAATCTGAGCGTAAATTACAACAACCAGTTGATGGCATCGTAAAAAGCACTGGGCACCAAGTTGTAACAACACTTGGACACACACGCACACACACACACACTCAGACACATGCTCGACCTCGCAAATTATAAAGTTGTTTGGGCCAAAACTGCTGGCTGGCAAGTTTTCGTTCAAGTTTTCCCTTTCTTTTTTCGATTTTTTTTTGTCTCCTGCTTCTTGTTGTAGTCTATTTGGATAAGGGAAAGCTGCAGCACGTTTTATGTAACGCACATTGATAAGCATTTTGGCATTTGTCGGTGAATGATTTGCAAGTTTGCACAAACTGCTTCGCACAGGGCAGCATTTTGTGCAAACGTGTGCGAATATCTATCGGCATCAGAGAGAGCGGCTGCCCTTTTGGCACAGTTTCCAGCACGGACGAGCAACTGGGTCGGCTGGAGCCGGAATCGAAGGGGCGCCGCCGAATGTTTCGTCTGCTGGCCAAGCACAAGCAGCTCTGCAGCTGCAGGCACAGCTTTGCATAACTTCAACTTCAATGCGAAAAGTTTTCCTTTCGGCAGTTGGCAGGCGAGTAAATATGATTGCGATAGCCGGCGATCTAACTCAATGACTAGATGAACTCTTTGATTATGATTTGATTTGTTTGGAGCCCTCGAGCGCTGTGGCGAAATCAAAGGGTATTTCGTGGAAGCGCATGTCTAATGAAACATATAATTCAATAGTATCTACCCAGAATATTTATTGATACTCTTGACTTGACTGGGTTTGCTGTCGTAGGAAGTGGGCGTGCCTGTGAAGTCGATTCAGCTACTTTCTTAGGGCTGTATTTATAGGTGAGGGAATTGTTTGGAATTTAGTAACTATTTATTTATAGAGAAGTTTCCCTTTCTCTGTGCGTATGTCTTACACCCTTTGTCCTTCTTTCTCTCACACCACTTTTCTCTTTGCGTATCACTCTGCACCTATCTTTTCCACTCAACTCTCTCTCTCCCTCTTACTCCCCCTTTCTCTCTCTGCCTTACTCCACTTATTTCTCTCCACATCTCTCTCTCTCTCTTTGTCGTTCTCTCTCACACCACCTGTCTATCTCTGTCTCTCTATACACCTAGCTCTATCTGTCTCTAACCCTCTCTCTCTTTTTTTCATTATTCCTCTCTCTCTCTCTCTCTTTCTCTTTGATTCTCGCACACACCGCCTTTCTTTCTCTGTCTGTCGCTAACCATCTCTCCACCTCGCTCTCTCTTTTTCTTTCTCTCTCAACATTTTCGTATCTTAGTTTCTTAATCTCTTGGTTAAATATTTAATCATTTAATCTTTTGGACAGGCGCCTATCACTGAAGCCTAAAATCTCCCTCATTCAAAATAACTATTTCAGCTTTAGCCTTTGTTATCCCTGTTATATCTCCTGTATTAGAACTAATATAGTTTTTAGTAAATATTTGACTTTTGCTTAAATTGTTTGATCTAAAAGGTAAAAGGTTTGCCAGGTGATTGCAGGGTATCTGCTGGCCAATCACTGAAATCGAAAAGTGTGTTCGAGTACTTACTGTTCTTTTGAAAGTCCTGTGATTCCTCTTCCGCTCGAATCGCCGTCGGCTGCTGTAGCAACAGCAGGAACATCAGCGGAACGACAATTGAAACCGTTTTCCCTGTGAACAGCGCCGTTCGCGTTCGTGATTTTCGATGTGTGTTGTGTTCTAATTGCTGTTGTTGTTGTTGTTGTCGTTGTTCTGGTTGTTGTTGTGGTTGTTGTTGCCAATTGGCGAATGTGGCTATTCCTGAAGTTGTGAATCGCATTTTTGTGGTTCCTCTTGCAGTTGCCATGTCGCTTGCTGGTATTAAAAATTGTATTGAAGTCATCTCGCTGTAGTCGAGCGAAAGAACTTTTCGTCATTTATGGCGCGCTCTTCAGTTTCCCCAAAGGGTCAAAGGAACGGAACGAAAGCAAACACGAGTGGGCCAACAGCTAGGGCAATACATGAGCTTGCCTGGGCGCCAATAGACAAATGCCTCAGTCAGTCTGTGTGGGTGAATGCGTGAGTGAGCGCGTTTTGTTTGAGCTGTTGTTGGCTATTTCCGTTTCCGCTGGCGTTTCCGCTTTTGACTTTAATGAAGCGCCAACGCGCCTTTAGTTCGCTATCGTCTTCAACTTGGCCCATAAAAGGCACATTTCAAATGGCATTTAGATGTGAGTCAGCCGCTGCTTGTTTGCCCTCAGCTGCTTTCGAATCGAAAGCAAGTCCTGCTGCCACGGGAATCTTAATGTCCTTTTACATGTTTATTTGCACTTTTATTGCCTTTCTGGCATGGCAGATTGGAGACGTCCCTCAGCCGGCAACTGCAAATAGAAGAGCGAAAGCCAGAAACAAAACATGAGACATGAAACATGAGCCCAACACAATAACATCCAGGGATTCTGCTCTTAAACATAACAACAGCTCCGAATTCGGATGGATATACATTGTTATTGTTATGCTACGTTCTTCATATATACTTTTGACAATGTTATAGAGTTTGCAAAGTAGAGTACATATATTGTAAATATGTATATATATTTTATTTCTTAGGGAGTATTCGGCCAGGCCGAAGTTAACTAGCCTTCGGCAAATATGAAGAGTGCTAATAAAATGTTTTACTGACTCGCACACACACACACACACACGCAAAAGCACACGCACATCAAGCAAATTGAACCCATAAACTTGGCCAAGGGGGTAAGCGGCTGCTTTTATTGGCATAGAAACTGCTCTCGCTGCTCGCTTGCAAATTGCCTGTTTTTATGAGGCAAACGCATCGCATCGATGAGGTGTGATTAATGGCGCATTTCAATGCGAGTCTTCGTAATTAAGGCGCAGCGCAAGTCGATTTATTGACGTGGATGCCACGGTCCAGTCCAGCACGGAGCATACCTTGACTCTGGCCCCGCTCGAGCAGGAGCTGCAGCCAAATGTTGCCATTTAATTGCGTGCTTAGCACGAGCGTCGCTCATTAGGCAACGCATCAAAATTGATAAACCAACCCCCCCTAACTGGGCAACTGCCGCGCCCGCTCCCTAGCGCTGTCAGCGATGCGTTGCAGCCACGGCGCATTTAACCAAGGGCACACACTGTGGTTGCATTAATTGGGTGAGGCTGGTCGCGACAGCAGTGGCGACAGGCTGCTCCTGCTGCTCCTGCTACTCCTACTACTCCTGCTGCTGCTGCTGCTGCGGCTCACCTAAGTCCAGGTCAGCGTAATTATGCAACATTTGGGGTGGACCTTTTTCAGCCACGTTGTTTAATGAGTACCACACGCATGCACCCACCCACACACACACACACACATATTACACTCTGTGATCTGCGTATAAATAAACAAAGCCAAGTTCATAAATTTTTATGAACTTTGGAGAGCTGCTTTGATTAGAGTGATAAGCGAACGCAATGTTGGCCCAACTGTCAGCCGTTTGCATTTAATTGCAGGACTGAAATTTGTTACCTTCTCAATGCCTGCTACCTGCAGATACATAGGTGAGCCAGCCAGTCGGGCCTACAGGCCTGAAACTTTGCTCATTAGTAAATTTTATGGCGCCAGCTGCAGTCGTGGAAGGCATCGCAACATATAACATGAGTAGTTTTCCGCTTGCTGCTTGCTGCT